CATCATCTCGCTCATGAACCGTACAGTGAGGCGCATTCCCTCAAACACGAAAACATATTCCGCGTCCTACGCACTTGCTCCTCGTTAGCGTTGAAGAACAGAAACAGGGACTTGGTGATCACGTCAGCGGTGTGGTGTAGCTCATGCCTTCCGCCGACTGCGGCTCAAGCCAACTTTGACCATCTTACTATGTCGTTGATAAGGCCCTCAATTTTTACAAGGACTACGAGCGGGGGCGAGTTTTCACGACATACCCAGGACAATGATAAAACCCAATTAACTTTTAGACTGGTTGAGGCAGGAATTCCACCTTGCACGTCGTAATCGTGGTTTGGCAAAAAAGCGCCATCAGACGGCGGGTGGGAGAGGGCTGCCCGACTTCTGGCTCATACTTCCTTTTCTTATGATGAAATGAGTCCGGAGATCTGTTGTTAAGTATTTGGCATAATTGACGACTCCTCTTTTGTCCTCGTCTACCCCTACCACACACGCGCTTGTTCCTCTGTTTGCGACAATCCGGCTTCAAACAACTGACTTATCATTTTCGTGGGAATTTATCTCGGGTATAGGTCTGACCCTCAAAAACCATCTTTGCAGCCCTCAGCTCATACGCACAGTCACTCATAACGGCGAGATTTGTAGGGGGTGTATAAGCTGATTGCCTTAATTTATGATTGACATTTTAGAAATACCCTGTAAAGAGTGAGTATGGTAAGGTTCGAGTGCGACACACACTAGGCGGGGGTTTAATGCAACGTCAGGCATTACGCTCAATCTCATCTCCTGTCAGTTCGCCTCGAACCTGTCGCTGGCATGGGAGGGGGAAGAGAGAATGCATGGTCGATCGGAATCAAATCTAGCGCCTTGATTCCTCGCTATAAACAAACAAGCGGACTTTTAACCTTCAACAGTGTGCTACCAGCCGTGAATTGCGGGGCTCTGAGCAGACAGGCTGGGTCGATCCTGTCTAGGACTAAGAGTCAGGCCTCAATGACCGCAACTGCG